CTAACATAGTACCCTAGATAGTAGGATCCTTACTAATAAAGACCCTCCAAAATAAAGTACCCTTTTTTTCGGAAACTCATTTCTTCAAAAAAACCCTAAACCCCTAAACCCTAAACTACGCTTTATTGCTTTTCGGGAGAAATCGGTGCCCAAGACCTAAACCCTAAACCATTCTGGAATCCAAGTTTACCCAGACCTTCCATCTGCCCTCTATTAGACCCTAAATACCCTTAATTTGGGACCATATACGTTTAGGGTTTAGGATTTAGGGTTTGGGGTTTAGGGTTTCGGATTTAGGGTTTAGGGTTTCGGGTCCCCTATGTGAGGGTACAAGGAGGGTCCTGGTATACCCAGAGAACCCAATACCCCTTAATTAAGGAATATAGCTTACATCCTAACATCAAGGCCCTTATAGTTTAAGGTATATTCCTTAATTAAGGGGTATTGGTTCTCTGGGTAAAGAACCCTAAACCATGAACCCCAAACCCTAAACCCCAAACCCTAAACCCTAAAAACCCTTAACCCCCTAACGGGTATTGGGTTCTCTGGGTATTACTGTATTTCTCCCACTGGATACTGCTGGGCCCAGGATGTGGTGCTGAGCAGAGGTCAGGCTCTGGAGTTTAGGGCTCAAAGTTTTAGGTTTTGGTGTTCAGGTGTTAGGTTTTAGGGCTTAGGTTTTGGGGTTTAGGGTTTAGGTTTTGGGGTTTAGGGTTTAGGTTTTGGGGTTAAGCTTTAGTGTTTAGGTTTAGGGTTAGGGAGGTGTGGTTGAGAGTCCCAGGGTCTATGGCTCCAGGGGGTGTAAAGCGGTGTAGAGCGTTTAGGCATAAAGTTTCTAGAATTTAAAGGTTCCGACTCTTGGGCCAGAAACAAACAAACACAGTGGGGTAGTTTAGGGCTTAGGATTTAGGGTTTAGGGTTTAGGATTCTTCCTCCCTGACAAGAGCAACAGCAAAGAGCGCCAGCAACACCCCAGGAGTCGTGTGAAGCTTCTTTCCGAAGGTCTTCCTGGTTGAAATAGACCAAGACGGAGCAGTCACCAGCAAGCAGTCTGCAAAGCTCAGCGATCTGCCATGCGTTCACAGTTTGGCTTCGCCCCCGCAGGCGAAGTCGTCCCTCTCGCTGACGGGGTACAAGTCGACGGAGAGGAAGACCTGGGCGATCTCGCCATCAAGCGGAGCTGCAACCAACCCGTCGTCGCCCGTCGCCTGCCCATTGTCAGTGGCCATGAAATACCACACGCACCAGTATACATGACGAACACTTAAATGCATCTTGACAGAAGGATCTTAAGCGTCAAGCCCACCTATACAAACCCTAAACAGAACCCCGAGTCCAGAATGTGGCCGCAGTATATACTACCTGGGTAGATAAAGCTTTCTCGTGTTATAAACCGGAAGCCACGCAACCCTCAAATTAACAAAAACGAATCACCACAACACCCCNNCCCCCCCCCCCCCCCCCCCCCCTTGACAGCTGAAAGCTGAGTTGCAGTCAGAATGGAGCCCCTTAACACTCAGCTAAAGCGATCTGGTCCAGGTATCCTGCCCCAGTTTTCGAGGCTTAAACTCTTAAAAGCTAACCCTAAACCCTTAGCACCCAAAGCCTACCCTAAGGGTTCAAGTTCCGGTACCCAATACTCATATACCCGCATGACACCCAAACACGAATCACCCTCGCTACTGTCCAGAACCCAACCCTAAACCCTAAACCTGAGTTTGGACCCTCAGCCCTAAGCCCAGCCTCGCCGGTGTCTCGCTCGGCCTCTTCGGATGCTGAAGGCAGCAAGCGGTCCAAATGCTGACCTTGCGCTCGAAAGCCTAAACCCTAAATCAGGGTTTTACGGTTCAGGTTTAGGGTTTAGGNNTAGGTTTTGGGGTTCAGGATTTTGGGCTCCGGGAGTTTAGGGTTTGCCTGTAGCCCCAAACCAGGCTATGACCCGCTTTGTTGCAGGGCATGGCCCCGACAACGATGGGACGATAGGCTTTTGAATCCCAAATACGGATTTGGTGTTTAGGGTTTATGGCTTAGGGATGTCTGTAGTTGTGGGTCACAAACCTACGATTTAATGGGGCTTGGGGTTAGGAGTACATCCTAGACTACCGCATCGATTGAAATTAGCAAGTTTTATGATGAGTTGGAGCATTTGGCGGTGTTTCAGTGCTGAGGATTAATACCGTTTATGGGCTGCTCGCGCCTAGAACTGTTGCTGATGCTTTGCCGTGTTCTGCTTGTTGTGTTGCCTTTGCGTTGTTGGGATCTTAACCCTAGTGTAAACTCACAACCCTAAAACCCTACACGAAACGCTAAACCCAACCCCCTAACCCCCAGAACCCTAAACCTAACCTTAAATTAGGTAACTAAAGTCTAAACCCAAAATTCCCTAAACCCTCAGCCCGAAAACCAAAAAGAACGAAACCCGCAGCCACAATCGGAATCATCAGGCTGCTGCGCTTAGTACTTAAAGTAGCCCTTCTAGAACCCTT